AACTCCGACAAGTGAAAAGAAGTGGAGGCCACTGAGACCCTTTGTGAGACCGGTGAAGATGAATTTCTCAGGGCCCAATCTGCAGGTTACAGGTTTTTAACCAGCTGCGCTCAGCCCAGGTTAGGAAATTAAAAGGTGTATTTTAACACGGACCCTAGGTTGGGGTTTGTCTTGGTGGGTAAGATGGAAGAAAATGAGTTGGAAGGAACTATGTTGGGATATGATCATGCTGGGGAGCAAGGTGCACAGGGAAAGTAACAGAGGCTAGAAGGGGGCTGACAGACCAGGAAATGGGGTACAGGGGACTTGAGGGTTCTGGGAAGAACAGTGAGAAGGAATAAAGGTGTACAGAAAACTGAAGGAGGCTGGTGAAAAAGACTGGGACATCTGGTTCAGAGTGACATTGATAGAGCAGTTGAAGTAACAGAGGTCCAGGATGTGGCCTTGATTTCCAGACTCCCTGCCAAAACGGATCTTCCCCAGTGTCTCTAATCTCAGGAAATGGCACAACTATTCACCTGGTTCCCAAAAAGCTTGGAGTGATAGCCAATCCATTGGCAAATCCATCAGCTCTTTCCTCAAATTAAATCCCAACCAAACCTTCCTTCACTCCTTCCACTGCTCCCACCCCAGCCCAAGCCATCATCCCCAGTATCCCCTCCCACTCCTGAATTCCTTTACACCACTAACAGCATCCCTGGCTATCTCTTGTGTTCTCCTATAGTCTATTTGCCACGTGCTGCCCAGAGACATCTTTTCAAAACATAAATAAAATCAGCTGTTCAAAACCCTTCAGTGGCATCTCGTCACCCTTAGGATAAAATCTGAAATGCTTTTCATGGTCCACAACCCTACACAGCCTGGCCCCTCTCCACTTCTCCAATCTCTGTTGCTCCCATCCTCCTCCTCACTTATTCCGTCCCGTTCCTGTTCCTTGGACACGTGGCAAGCAACTCCTGCCACAGGGCCTCTGCACCTGTTGCTGCCAGAGGCGGGACCATTCTTCCCCTATAGAATGCACATGGCTCGTTCCCTGACTTCATTCGAGTCTCTGTTCAAATGCCAAATGCTCAGAGAAGCTTGTCCTGACAGCCCCTGCACAGCACCTACCCCTCCCTGACACCACATCCTTCTGTGTGTGTGCGACACCCCCAGCACCTGCAGTGTCCACTATGATGGCTGCAGTGGACTGAATCTCCCCCACAAACTCACTGAAGCTTAATCCCCACTGTAACTGTTAAGAGGGTAGGAAATCCTCTCATGGTAGTTGAAAGGGGAGCCCTTAAAGAGGTGATTAGATTGTGAGGACCATGCCCTAGTGAATGGATTGATTCGATAATGGATGGATAAGTTGATAGTTTCATGGGTGGTAATGGGCTTGGTTCCGATGGCTTTCTAAGGAGAGCGAGGAGCAGGTTAGCTCTTACTCCTTCCATCCTTGCCATGTGATACCCTGTGTAGCTACAGAGCCACCGCCAAGAACGAGGCCTTCACCAGATGTGTCCCCTGGACTTTGGACTTCTCAGCCTCCAAAACTATAAGCGATTAATACTGTTTCTTTACAAATTACCCAGCTTCATGTATGTCTGTTATAAGCAACAGAAACTGACTAATATAGTGGCAATGTTCAAGGTCATCACAACTAGCTTACAGTGGTGTTGGATGGATTGCCCAAACAGACACTGAGATTATCCAGGACAATGGCCAGACTTGGGGTAGACAGGAAGACAGTGACACTAGTCCTCCACTTTGGTGGAATGTGGGGGACTGTTTAGAAAGAATATGACAAAGACAAGCCAGGATAGAGGATGGCTTAGCAGGATAGCATGGAACTAAAAAAAGCAGATTTTTACAGAGTAGATGAAAGCTGGACTGATGCAGTGCTGTGATGGTGGCAGCGAGCACCAATGCCACGTCCTGACTCCCTGGCCGGGCACGCAGGTTGCAGGAGAATGAGCAGCCTGCACGTTAGAGAAAAGCACAGGAAAAGGCTTGGGGAACAGAATGTTTGTGTAAAGACTGCAGGGGATAAAAATGATTAGGAATTAGCCACTACTGGCTTTTGGCATTTCACTGCTATTTTTACACCACTGTAACTTCTCACATGCCTACTGTCTCCCCACCTGGAGAACAGGTTCCTTAAAAGCAGCAGAATGTCCTTGGCGTTACTTGATCTCCTAAAATGGAAACCTGACCTTACCTAACCCGTCAACCAGCACATACTGCTCTATTAATTATAAATGACTTGTTAATCTTCCTGAGATCCTGAGCTCAATGAAGACAGGGGCCAGGCCTGTCCTCATCATGACTGCATCCCCAGGCAGGTGGGATTTGCCTCACTTCAGCATCAATAACTCACAATATCACTGCTAAGCTGCCTACATTCTGACTAGGGCCCTAAAACCTGAGTTGGATCCATGGCATATGGAACTAATCCCTATCCTGATGAGCCAACCACCTATTTTAGTTCACCAAAGAAATTTTTCAAGTTGCTTATAAGTTACAGCTTAGGCTCTTTTAGACATTTAGAATATTTCCTTCCTCCTGATAATAAGAAAAACACACCCCTTACCTTTATTGACATCCCATATGATGGCTGTGTTATCCACAGAGGCAGAAGCCATTAAATTCCCATCAGTTGCCCAGCAAATATCATACACATCTTCTAAGTGGCCCCTAGAATCCAAAGAGGACAAGAAGGGAAAAAAGCAATTATTGTCTCAAAAAGGAAAAAGTCACCAAAAATTTAAAGGCAAACTTAGGGACCATGCATTAGAATGGGATTCTAGAAATTTCCACAGGAACTATATTAGCTATAGCTATAAAAAACTACTTTCAAGGATATTTGTATCTTTAAAATAGATTCATTTTGGGGCTGGCTGGTTAGCTCAGTTGGTTAGAGCATGGTGGTGTAACATCAAGGTCAAGGGTTCAGATCCCCATACTAGCCAGCCACCAAAAAAAAAAAAATTAATAAAAAAAATAAAATAAAATGGATTCATTTTTAGTAAGGAAAATTTTTTAGTAGGAACCAAAAAAATTATTTTAATTATGTTTTTATCCTTTAAAACTATTGTCTCATGACTGTCCCACAGGAGTAAAAGTTTTAAGTTATATACAAAAGTAAAAGGCATATTCTGTTTAATGCATTCAGGTCATAAAGGTAAATCATTCCCAAGCTCCCCCCTCAAGTTACCTGAGAGTTTTCACAACAGTCCAATTCTCCTTATTCAGCTGAGCCTCATCCTCGTCCTGAAAAGCAATCTGTTCGGGCTCCTTGTTGTCATTCACCTTCCACAATAAAATGACAGCATCTGTGGAGTGAGCCAACTGAAGATGAGCCACACTTCACTGCACACTCCATCATTCCTGAATTTTTAGGACATTAGACAATACTTACGGCTCCTTGTTGTCATTCACCTTCCACAATAAAATGACAGCATCTGTGGAGTGAGCCAACTGGAGATGAGCCACACTTCACTGCACACTCCATCATTCCTGAATTTTTAGGACATTAGACAATACTTACGTTGTTCAATGGACGCTGTGGCCACAATGATTTACCTCTAAGAATTTGGACAGGAAAAGTAGGTGTGCCTTCTGAACTAAAACTCCAAAATCAAACTCATAACAGATCAGAGCTATACAAAGTCACCTTAAACAGAAGGGTCCCCAGGCCAGCAAAACATCGCTGCAAAGTGACTGACTACACTTAACAAATCTAAAGGCATAACCTATATAAACAGACGAATAGTGAAAAAAATAAATAGCAAAGAGCCACCAGCGCAAGGGTTGGCAAACTGCTCCTGGCTCTGTAACCTTTAGTAACTCACTTAACAGCTTGATGCCTCAGTTTCCTCACCTGTAAAATAAGGATGACAGTAGAATACCTACCTTATAGGGCTGTTGCGAGGATTCAATGGGTTAATATGCATAACACACTTACGACGTGATGCCTTGCACATGCAAAGTCCCATATAAATGCCAGCTATTAATATCACTATGAACACATCAGATACCTCAGCCTGATGTCAACTGAGTCTACCAACTGCCCACATTCTGGTTCCACACTTACCATGTATCCTTCTGACCATCACTTGCCTTCCCTTTTAGGAACGTCCACAGGAGAGTGAATGAACGAGCAAATTATATGGATACGTACAAGGACACTTCAAAAAGTTCATGGAAAAATAGAATTGAAAGATAATACGAATCTTTCCATGAACTTTTTGAAGTACTCTCTGTATTAGTCCATTTCTGTTGCTTATAACAAAATACGTGAAACTGGGTAATTTACAAAGAAATTAAATTTACTTCTTACAGTTTTGGAGGCTGGGAAGTCTATGGTCCAAAGGGGTACATCTAAGTGAAGGCCTTCTTGGTAGTGACTCTCTACAGCAATGCAGGGTGTCTCATGATGAGAATGGCCTGAGCAAGAGCCCTACGTACTCACTCACTCTCTTTATAAAACCTTCAGAACCAGGCCTGTGATAATTCATTACTTCATGAATGGATTAATCTATTCATGAGGACACAGTCCTCACGATCCAATCACCTTTTGAAGACCCTACCTTTCAAATACCATACTTAGATTTCCCACCCTCTTAACACTGTTATAGTGGGGGTCAAGTTTCAATGAGTTTTGGGGAGACATTCAATCCACAGCACGCACAAATTCCCATTTTAAATTAACTGCAGTCCTGGTTGCACACTTCAGTCTGGGAGCTTGGTTGAGACAAGGCTGGCACTGATGGATGGACACTCTCTGTGTGCTAACAGCAGGTTTCTAGGCCTTCAAGGCCAAAGGACTTTGCTAAATGAGGGATGCCCTGTGCCACCTCACAGGAGACAGTCTGTGGCCTCCCCCAGGTGACTCTCCCCCACCTTTCCCCCTACACATGCATATGCATGCGTGCGCGCACGCGCACACACACACACACACACACACACACACACGCTCTAGGCATCATGGCACTGAACTCAACCAGGTCTCTGTTCCTCCTGCAAACAAAAACTGAGATCTCTGTTTTATTTTGTACTGGCTCCTAGACTACTTTATTTTAAACCTACTTGTTAAAAAGGTTTACTTTTTCTGTATAGTTTTATCCCAGGTAAGCATAGGCAGAAAATATGAATCAATCTACTCCCACCAAACAAACACAAATTACAAGGCCATTTGTTAAAGAGGCTCCCGAAGCCAATTAATTAGTTACAAAGAGACATAGAACTGACTCTGATCACCACATCTATAAATTAATAATCAAATAAGACCAGAACAGCTGCCTAGGGACTCTGATGGAATGACAAGCACCTTCCTGCTTGTCTCTAAACTAGCCCGGTGGGGGCAAGTGGGAAGGGAGTTGTTTTCAAACAGGTCTTAGCTTAATCTTGCTGTCCTCCACCCCCTCACTCTGACACACTCCCCAGAATGTTATTTTACTAAGCTATGTAAATGGCAGATCAAGAGAGTCAGCCACATCTGAAATAAAAAAGCACATCCAGCTCAAATCTAACATAAGACACAAAAGTATCTGGTTTCTAAAGAATTTCTGAAGTACAACAACACTCACCATCTCCTCCTGATGCTAAAATTTCCCCAGCGGGAGAAAAACGCACAACATTGACAGCTTTGGTGTGACGAGCAAGATTGGACAAAAATTCCACAATCGCTTTTCCATCTGGTCCTTTTTCCACCTTCCAGATCTGTTGATACCAAAACATTTATTCGAAAAACATATAGTGAGCACCTATTATATTGCTCCTACTAAAACAATACTATGCTTACTTTCAAAAAGAAAGTTTGGTTTTTCTTTTGAAACATAAAATGAAGGAACCTCCTTCTATCTAAAACATAAACCAATAGTCCACTATCTGCTGTCCTCCTACTTCTTTCTAGAGCAAATTGTTGCCCAAAAGGAACTCAGCTCAGGATTCTGAAATAATGAACATCCATTTACAACAATCTAGGGAATGCTACTCGGAAAAAAAAAAAAAAAAGCTCTCTCTTTTGCTTTTATTGTTCACTGGAGGCTATGAGAATTTCACATTCAGGGTTAGATGACAAAGTAATTGGAATCTGTTAACATCAGTTTTAAATAAAAGAACGAAAACTGCTGTTTCAAGTAGTGCTTCCCGGTGTCTTTCTATCTCTGCCCCAATTTACCCTGACGGCGGTGTCCACCCCTGCAGATGCCAGTCTGTGGATCCTCCCTGCAGTCCCATGCTGGAAGTCCAGGCTATACACCGGCTCCTTGTTGTGCCAGGCTATTTCGCACGTGATGACTTTCATCCTACTGGGTCTTGAAGGAGCAAAAAATTCCTCCCTCGGGCAGCTTTCTTTTTCCAAAGGCAGGAAAGCTGAAAAACGCTGGTAATTAATTAAATAAAAATATTAGAGGGGCAAAGGTTTATTGAGCACTTACTATGAACCAGGAACCCTGTTAACCATGTAAAATGCACGTTGGGGGCCGGCCCGTGGCTCACTCGGGAGAGTGTGGTGATGATAACACCAAGGCCCCGGGTTCGGATCCCATATACCGATGGCAGGTTAGCTCACTGGCTGAGCGTGGTGCTGACAACACCAAGTCAAGGGTTAAGATCCCCTTACCGGTCATCTTTTAAAAAAATTAAAAATTAAAAATTAAAAAAAAATAAAATAAAATGCACGTTGGTTGTACTGGGAAAAGACGTTAATGTTGCCATCTGACGGTAACATCCTGCAAGTTCCACCTAAAATGCTTCCTTGAGCTATGGCTTCCACAAGCTCATGTTTCAAATGAATCACCCAGGTAGAGGCAACCCAGGCGTCCGGGCCCGCTGCACGTCTGGGGGCGTGTCCGGAGAGCCAAGAGAAGGGACTGCCCAGGGGGAGGGGGCTGCCCGTGTGAGGGAGCTGCTGGGAGGGGAAGGTTACGGGGAGCGGAGGGAGAGGGGGACGGTGTAGGAGGACAGGATTGCCCGGGGGGAGGGGACTGTCCGGAGAAGTAGCCTCCCGGAAGAGGAGTCATCCGTGGGAGAGGCCGCGGGGCAGTAGGAGACCCACCGCTGTTTCCCAGTGACGGGGCGATGGGCCCGGGAAGCCGGCACCTGGCCCGGAAGGAGGCCGCGAAGAGCCTGGGACGGGCAGACCACACGAGCGCCGCTCCGGAGCTACCCCGGGCCCCAGTGGTCCCCTCTCGGCGAGCACCTTCCGCCCCTGCCCAGCCCGGCTGGGAGAACCGTGGGGCCGCCGGGGCCAGCCCCGGGAAACCGTACCTGCAGGGACACAGTCAGCGGTGCCGCCGCCTCCTGCCGCCGCGCGCGCCGCTTCCCGCGCGCCGCAGGACCCGCCTCCGCGTGGGCGGGACGCCAGTGACGCTCCGCCTCTTAATAGGCAGGGCTCCATGGACGCCCCGCCCTACCTGGGGCGCCGAGGCTGGTTCAAGGCGGCCCAATCTGTGGGAACAAAGGCCGTTTCCTTCTGGTTCATTAATTCCTGCCAGGCGCACGCCCGGTGGAAGAACGAATGAGTTCATCGATTCAGGCACTTATTCCCTTGTTGGTTCATTCTTTTAGCAAACATTTATTGAGCATCTGCTATATGCTAGATCCTATGCTGGCACTCGATACTTAGTGGACAGAGAAGATGACTGAGACTTACCCTTAGGGAATTCACACTCCCTTAAAAAATAAACAAGAGCCTTTGCATAGGACAGGTGGGGAGACTGCAGCTCTGAGACCCGCCCAGGACTACCAAAATGTCAGTTCACAGTTGCAGCGGACGGCTGAGAGCTGTCGTCCTTATCAGGTCTGGTTCTGATCTCCGGAGTTTCAAACGTCAATAAAACAGAGACTCTGCCTTCGGGCCTCTCAGAGCCATGTACACAAATAATTAAAATAAAAAGATAAAGTGAAAGTGAGAGTGAAAGGAAGAACGTGCTCTTACATTTCAGAGTAGGAGGTTATTTCGGATTTGAAGGCTCAAAGGAAGCTTTAAAAGAAAGTGACATTTAAAGTGGGCTTTATGTGATAAGAGTTTTGGATGAGCAGCCCTGGAAGTGTGGAATTCAAGCTAAAGAAGCACCACAGTAGGGCAGTAGAGGCACAGAGGGTGGGTGAGCAGTGGGACTGGAAATGGAAAAGGACATGGGCCTATGGCCCTGAAGCCTGTGGATGTGAATGAGGTCAGATGAACATGTGTATTTCAACTGACACTGTAATTCCCATTCTAAATAACTGCAATCCTGCTTACAGACATTAATGTGGGAGCTTGGTTAACACAAGACTGGCCCTGACAGATGGACACTCTCCATGTGCTAACAGCAGATTTCTGGGCCTTCAAGTTCAAGGGACTCTGCAAAATGAGACCTGCCCTGTGCAACCTCACAGTAGACAGCCTCCTCCATTAACTCAAAATGGATTAAAAATTTAAATGTAACACCTGAAACTATAAAACTCCTAGAAGAAAACAAAAGTGAAACACTTTGGGATGTAGGACTGGGCAAAGACTTTATGAATAAGACCCCAAAAGCACAGGCAACAAAAGAAAAAATAAACAAATGGGATTATATAAAACTAAAAAGCCTTATGAATAAGAACAAAAGTGAAACACTTTGGGATGTAGGACTGGGCAAAGACTTTATGAATAAGACCCCAAAAGCACAGGCAACAAAAGAAAAAATAAACAAATGGGATTATATAAAACTAAAAAGCCTCTGCACAGCAAAGGAAACAGTCAGCAGAGTGAAGAGACAACCTGAAGAATGGGAGGAAATATTTGCATATTATACATCCAACAAGGGATTAATATCCAGAATATACAAGGAACTCAAACAATTTAACAGTAAAAAAAAATAATAATCTGATTTAAAAATGGGCAAGGGAGCTGAATAGACATTTCTCAAAGGAAGAATGAAATTCTGACACATGCTACAACATGGGTGAAGCTTTGAAACATTAGGCAAAGTGAAATAAGCAGAGGACAGTTGTATATATTGTATGTATTCCACTTACATGAGGTACCTAGAATAAACACATTTATAGACACAGAAAGAAAAGGTTACCAGGGGCTGAGGGTAGGGGAAAATGGAAAGTTATTGTTTAACAGGTGTGGAGTTTCTGTTTGGGATGATGAAAAAGTTCTGGAAATGGATAGCGGTGATGGTTGCACAACGATGTGAATTGTACGTAATGCCACTGAAATGTACACTTAAAAATGGTTAAATGGTAAATTTTGTTACGTATATTTTACCACAATAAAACACATTTTCTTCAATAAGTTAATATTTGTAACACAACGGGCCGGCCCGGTGGCGCACTGCTACAGTGCGCTGCTTGTGAGCGTGGCGGCGCTCCCGCTGAGGGTTCGGATCCCACATACAGACCAGCGGCTCACTGGCTGAGCGAGGTGCGGTCGCAACACCGAGGGTTGCGATTCCGTTGCCGGTCCCGGTCCGGTACGGGCGCGACACTGAGGGTTGCGATCCGTTGCCGGTCACGAAAAAAGACAAAAAGGAAAAAAAAAATATTTGTAACACAAATACTACGGTAGGGGTTAAGTAAATGGGAGTGTAGATAAAACAAGATTGACCACGAATCGAAAATTGTTGAAATGGGTACGCAGGAGTTTATTATAATCGTTTCTTATTTTTAGATGTTTAAAAATTCCCAAAATAAGGTTTAAAATACCTGATATTGAAAAAACCAGTTTAAGAACAATTAACTAATGGGAAATGAGAAAGTACTGGATAAGAACGGTTATAGCGTATAGTGTATAGTAATGCTATTATTAAATATTTTATATAACTATATAATTTATAATGACATATACAAATTATTATTGTCTTAGACCCCTGTCACTGTATTTCTCAACCCTGGAAAAGAGGGAACAGGTGCAGTTACATCAGACTGTGTCACTTTTGCTGCAAGCTGGTTAGACAACTCAACAACTACTCCTTGAACTCCAAACTCCAGGAATCTCACAACAAGTTCCCATTTTGCAGTTTGTAAACACCTCTCCCACAGTACTGACCTGCATAAAATCATACACCAACCTGGGAACAATGCTCTACAGTATCTCTACTGCATCCACGAACAACACATTTTGAGAGATACTCCACATCAATGGAATAAAAAGAGAATCACAAAAACAAGGGACAATTGCCTACATAGAAAAGTAAAATTTATAAATCCAAATTACTTTAATTCAGCCTTGGTTCAGATCACAGTACAAAGCAGGGGCCACAATTTTCAACAGCATTTAACAGGAACCCCACGGGAGACTAGGAAGACTGTAAACGCAACTACTCTGTAAATATAAAGCGCCATTACATTTTTTATGAAGATACAGCCAAATTCTGGATATCTACATATTGACGACATTCATAAGCTAAACACTAGCCAGGTTGGGGTAAAAATCCTTTTTAGTCAAGTTTAAACTTATTCTGTATTTTGTTACCATGATTTTGAGTCCTAATTTACAAGAAATTCTGTGGCTCTAAAAGTTTCCTGTTAACTCTTACAGAATGAAACATTGAGCTTTGTTACACTCTCCTCTGTGTAACTGAGATGGAGAAATGAGAAAGAATTCGCTGAAAGTACCATCAATGAGGCCTAGAGAGACTGCCACCCATCAGGGGAGCAGCCCCGATCCAAAATCAGCCTTTCTTTTTATTCACAAGACAAGGAAGTTTCACAAGAAAAATCAGTTGATTCAATCATCAAAGAAGGACATAAGGACATAGGCAATGTTACAAAAGTTGTCCATGGCTAAGTATAGCTTAACAATGGGAACTAGTAATATCAGTAAATTAAAGTGACATTCCAAAGTACAATTAGTAAAGAGCTAAGTTGGTCCACTGGCTCATTATCTAAAGTATGACCTCTCCTTAAACAAAAGTTAGGCGCTTATGATAAAATCTAAATACAATTATCGCTAAAGTTTCCCCCAACAGACAGCTTGCCCCTAGCAAACATTTTTTCCACAACTTTCCCTTCAGCAATTCTTAAAATCTCTCAACAGTATCAGTATGACAACTACCTGTCATCTCTAAATTAATTAAAGTGTACAATCCCATACCTAACCAGTGATTAAGAGTTGATTAGATGGGCTTTGGTCACGCTATCTATGGGCTGTGGCCCCCTGTCCGAGGGCTTTTGCACCATACATGCGTTTACTTAAAAACCTTATTCAAAAATCAAATGAGAATCAAGATTTCTAACCCACTACATTGAACCTTGAGGCTACGCTTGTTTTATGTATTTGAGATGAGAAATTGCATTTACTCACAATTTATCATTAGAATGTTTCTGTAGAAAATTCACACTCCAATTTTAGAATGGATAATTCATTCTGTATGACCACACTCATTTAATAACTTCACCTGTTATTTAAATGGCTTGACTTTACCAAGACTGTCTCCTTTGGTCTTGACTTTCTTCCTACAGGCCGGTATATGAAAATCAACTTCGTGATCAAGAAATTTAGTTCTAAAAAGCAGTAAATATATATTTACACATATACATTTTTCCTCTACACCAACTGGATATTAATAGCATTCCTTTTGTGACCTGCCAATGTCCAAAAGACACGCATATGGAGACACGCATCTGCTGGGACTTTTGCTCCACTCCAATGAGTCTATTTATGAGACACTGTACAAAATAAGATTTAACCACTGAATTTTCTGATATAGGAGTTATTTGGGTAGTTTTTACATAATTGTTGGGTGGTGTTTGTGGCCACATTAACACAAGCTTTTAGTTTCTTTACAGCAATAAGACAAAGAATCCAAAAAAGAACAGGCAAATAATATGTAATACACAGAAGAAATTAAAGTGGCCAATAACGAGAACATGTTCAGCCTAAGACAAAAAAATGCAAGCTATCATTTTTTCACATATCAGATTGGCAAAAGTAAGTTTGATGGGCTGATTTTGAGGAAAAATCACTGATACATTTATTACTCATAGGAGTATGAATTCCTGCAAACTTTTTTGGATGGCAACATTTATTAAAATGTACCTAGCATACACTCTTTGACTTAGTATTCACTGCAAAAAACTTACCCTGGATATACTTGAAGACGTATGTATGGTGTTTATTGTCATAGTAGTATTTTTTTGTAATATCAGAAGCAAAGTAAATGAGCATTAGGAGCATATTAATTTTGTAGAATGTCACTAAAGCTTTTTGAATGATATAGAAATGTTAAGTTGCCAGTTTTATGGTGTAATGCATTTACATAAATTTTCATACGAATATATGCAACTTAATATAAATTGAATACATATATATGAATGTGTATATGTATGCAGTCAATATTTTGTGGAAGGACATAAAAAAACCAATAGTGGTTACCTTTGGGAAAGCGGTGGAAAAAGTAAGCCTTTTCACTATATACCATTCTTTCTGTTCATTTATATTCCCAACTGGGAAAAAAGAAAGCAGACAGGCTGATCCTGAGTTTGTTTCATAAACCACTTGATTTCCATGTTTCTAAGTATTCACCAACAGAAGACATAGATCAATGGTTCTCACCTCTAATGGCACACTGGAACTAACCTGGGAGGCCTTAAAAAATACTGTTATCTGGGTCCAATCCCCAAAGACCTTAAGATCATTTAAATGATTCCTTAATGACAAATATGACCCAAGTGTCATGTGATAGAGGTCTGTGTGATAGAAAGAATCAAGTGTCAGAGAGCACGGGCAGTGTCACCAGTAGGACCTGCCACATTAGGAATTTGAGGCCCAAAGGAATGGCACAAGGACATGCTACACTGCTCCTGCTCTGTGCAGCCACTCTGCTTTCACTGATTTTGTAGCCTTAGCTGACTAAAGCAGCTAAGAGACTGTGGACTGTTTTGGTTTACTTTCTCATACTTTGTTTTAAAGCAATAAATGTTAGTTTAAGCAACACTGCCCTTCAACAGTAGCCTTTTACAAATTTAACAAAAGAGGTAGGTCATTCCTACCTAAATAATTATATGCACCATGAAAACCCATGTTGTTCTGTGAAACTTGTTAAATTTTCAAAATCTCTTATCTTGGCAGTATCTTCTTAAAGGGTAAGAAATATGTAAATACGTCCAAAGAATCAATTTAGCAAGCAAGTTTCTCTTCTAATCCTATGATTAATTTTCCCATTAAGCCAGAGAGCCATATAACATATTTTTGCAAGAATATAGAAGCTGACCAAAAGGAAGAGAAAAATGGCATATTTCAGAAAGAACCACTACATAGACTTAAAATATTCACAAAACTTACACAGGCTTTACATAGCCGTTATCATTTATGCAAGGTTTCTTTAAATGATGCACAAAGAAATTTCCTGAGTATAGAATACACACACTCTCTCCAAGAAAGATGAGCTCAGCCTAACAGAAATAGTCTTAGTCTTCAGAATGTAACTTGTAATCAATATAATAAAATGAGTAAAACTCGAGGGTCTAATGGATATATTGCTAGTTTTAAATTAAAAATAATACTGAATTCTTTAAGCCCTTCTGTACAGCAACCATTGAAGAGCAGCAGCAATGGCTCTGTGCTACCCCATGGCCATGGACCTCAACAAGGGATACAAAGTGACCAAGAATGTGAGCAACAGAGGCATGGCCACTGCTGTGGGCAACTCACCAAGCATACAAAGTTCGTGCAGGACATGAACTGAGAGATGTGTGGCTTTGCCGTATATGAGCGCTGTGCCATGGAGCTGCTCAAGGTCTCCAAGGACAAACGGGCCCTCAAGTTCAACAAGAAAAGGTTGGGGACACACACCTGTGCCAAGAGGAAGCAAGAGGAGCTAAGCAATGTCCTGACTGCCGTAAGGAAGGCAGCTGCCCAGAAAGACTGAATCTCCTCTTCCCCCTGTACAGAATAAAACCTTTACAAAAACTCAGAAAACTAAAAACAACAAATCTGAAGAGTTACCCATCATATATTTTTATTTTATTACAAGATATTTTAAAATTGGGCAATTACAACTGTGACAGAAAACCAGCTTCATACCAAAAATACACTTTCAATTACTTTATCAAGCAAATAAAAACAATCTTCATTAATTTGTTCTTTCCAGAGTTAATAATATACAGTAAAAATTTAATACTGTACATGACAGACATGTATAATTAAGCATACATACAAAATAAACATGTATTGAATATAAAAACAATCTTCATTAATTTGTTCTTTCCAGAGTTAATAATATACAGTAAAAATTTAATATTGTACATGACAGACATGTATAATTAAGCATACATACAAAATAAACATGTATTGAATGTTCAGAAACAAAAGTAAAAATAAATAGCAATGATAAAACTTTAGAAAAAATAATGCACATTCTAGATGTGGAAAATATGATTCTTAATTACATATACATAATTATATTTAATAGAAAGCCATCTCTTTAAAACTGCACAAACCATGGGAACAATAAAGCATAATATTTTGTGGCATGTAATACTATAATCCTAGGGCAGTTTGTTCCTTAACTCCAGGATATAAAACACTTAGGTTTGTAATATAATAAAAGGTATGTAGTATCGTTTGAGAAAGATTGTCTTCCTCAACTCACATCAACATGTAGTAATCCTACAAAAAGCTGTACAGGAAATTTCACAAAAAGAAATATTAAATAATTATTGTGCCCACTCCATGTTGACTAAACAGCCAAAAATGGGCTTCAAAGTAAACTTGGTGGTCATTTAATATTTTCAATACTTTTTAATACTAAAGATCGTTTCTTTGTTCTATAAAAACATACTTTGTATCTAACCATGATTGGCAATCTCAGCACAAGAAAAATCCTGGTGAAATGGAGTCAGTTTCTACTTACCGTCTTTTCATGGATAAAATATCTCAGGTGATAGGAATTTATAGAAAAGAAACATTAATTCATTTATAATCACAGCCTTATCAGAAGCATTATTAGAGCATTTAAAAATCCTATTTAAACTCCTTTACAATAAAATGAAAGGTAACATTCCATTTGTATTATGGCACAGCCCTCAATTCAGAGAAAAATACAATTTGGGAAACCAGAAAAAAATTGCACAAAGGTTAGGGGCAACCTGAAAAGCTCCTGGTGAAAAATTCTTAAGTACTCTAGGGCAATAAAAAAATATGTGCAGACTTAATTTCAAATATTTACATTCAAAACAGAATTATGAGTTAGCTAGCTATCCAGCTGCTTAATACTTAATAATTCACAGGTATTTCAAAAGGTATGATAATGTGTCCACAATATTTGTGACCACACTTGAATGCATAGAATACAGTAAAGATTATGGTTCTTCAGTCTTTTACCTATATCTATGAAACAAAATTGAGAGCTGTACAACCATAAGAATTGAGCAAACATTTTTATTTTTCATAGAATATATTTTAAGTACTACTGATTTCACTCATTTGTTCGACAACTTGTCCTAAAATCTCATCAACTACGTCAACATCGTAATTCACTTGCTGAAGATCAAGATCAGGCACAATCATAGCCAGCAGTTGTCCTACATTAACTCGAAGAGATCGAAGTTTGAGGCTGCAAATACAAATATTAAACTTATTAGATAAGCATTACAGTATAGTTCAATATGAATGAAGAACTTAAAAACTGAAAGTGAAACACTAAATTCAAGTCTCTGTAGAATGACATACAATTAAACAATAAGAAAGGGAAAACTTCCCGTAGAGGACTGGATTTAATTTAATAATTCATTTTACCCAGTAGATGCTTGCCTAAAATCCAAGTACAGTGTTTTATAAAACTAGTAGCTCTGTTTGGTTTCTACTCATACTTTTAATTTGCAGATTTGAAAAAACCTGGACTAGCAAAATACATAAATTACAAGATGTTATTTACAATTTAAAATATTGTTACCACCTGTAAAAATAAGAATTCATCTCTGAACTTCAGTTTCCCTTTGAGGAAAATAAATTAAACACGTTAAATTAATTAAAACGTGTTCTAGGAGATATCCTTATTTGTACAAGAGGACAAAAAGTTTCTGTGGCTAAGTAAGTTTGCAAAACTTTAGGTTAAATAATGATAAACAAGCCTTTTTAAGTAGCAGAACTTCTCTGAACCTATTAACATGCTCAAGTACACTCACTATCCATTTTACTATACATTTACAGGGAACGGTGTTTTGCTAAAAACATTAAGACACCCTGGATTAAGATGATCATTATCATTCCTTCCAAGTTTCTGAATGTCAACATTCTAGCCTTAAAAAAATAAATTCCAAAAAGTATTTAAGTAATACATACGTAAAACTATAAGGCAACCTTTACTTCAAAGATTGTACTAGACACATGAAATGAAAGTGTTTTAGTTGTTCTTGTTCCCTGCCCCTGCCCAAAGTAAGTAGACCATATTTAATTTAGATACTGATTTTCCTAGGATGGAAATCTCTGGGGTCAAGATACTCATACTTGAGTTGATATTGCAGAAAAATGTAATTCTGAGCATGTTAATTTTGTGGGCTTTTATGATAAGATTCCACTGGACCACTGATAAAACATACATCATTCCCACACCAGCTGTTTTTGGTCCAGGCTTTCCACTCATCTTCAATCAAGAGCCCATGGTTCAATTTTTTTTCTGCTTTGCTTTCCTAAAGTTATTAACCATTCTATGACCTACTCCCGTGTCATAACCAAAACTTTTTATCTCCTTGAAAAGCAAACAAATGACTAGTATAACCTTTTTACCCATCCTATCCCTTAAGTCTTTTGATGGGTTGCTTCCTGCTGTTTACTGATCACAGATTCCTATATTTAACATCTAGATCAGCACTGTCCAAAAGAAATAATGCTAGCTCCATATTCAATGTTCTAACAGCCACATTAAAAAGTAAAAGGAAACAGTAAATTTAATTCTGGTAATATATTTTATTTAATCCAATGTAGCCAAAGTATTACCATTTCATCATGTAATCAAAATAAACTTTATTAATCAAGTATTTTACATCTTTTTCAAACTAGAGCTTCAAAAGTCAGTGTGTACTTAACACTTAGAGCACACCTCAATTCAGATGCCACATTTCAAGTGTCAATAGCCAAACATGGCTAGTGGTTACAATATTGGAAAGTATGTATTTTACATCTTTTTCAAACTAGAGCTTCAAAAGTCAGTGTGTACTTAACACTTAGAGCAGACCTCAATTCAGATGCCACATTTCAAGTGTCAATAGCCAAACATGGCTAGTGGTTACAATATTGGAAAGTATAGGACTGTCAGTTACTCAAAGTTTAGAGTGCAAGAGAATCATCTGGGAGCTTGTTTAAAACAGTTTCTAATTCAATAAATTGCAGTAGGGCCCATTTCTACAAGTACCATAGATGCTTGTGGTCCCCATTTTCAGAACACTGCTCAAGACTTTTTTTTTTTTGACCCTTTGGCCTAAAGCTTACATGCACTGCTCTCTTCTATTTCAATAAACAGGTTTTTAAAAATCCTTTAAAAACTTAAGCTGAAAGACAAAGTAATAACATAATTAATGTCAAGTGAGGATGGCAGGAGAAATTTCTAAACAGTGCCTTTTAGTTCTCAAGTCATATCATATTAGCAGGTAAAGTTGCACGATTTCAGCCTTTAATGACTATTTGTGAAAAGTAAGCTGTCAACACACCAACACTGTCATCCTCTGAACCTGTCTCCCCCACTATCAAAAACAAATCCACACAGAACCCCAAGCCCAATTTATACTTTACTGAGATAGGATAATAATTAATTTACTGTTTCCTCATTTTAAGAGGACTCCTTCTTAATATCACCTATACTAAGGTAATTTCTAGTAATTTTGTGATTTCCTAAAAGTTAAGATTAGGGAGGACATAGAGTGAAAGGATAGCAACCCATAAAGAAACTGCACCAAGAACAAAAATCAGGTTGAAAAAGTATATTTCAGTAACAGTCCCTTGCCTTGTCTTCTAGACATGGCCAAATTCACCCCCTTCTTAGACATCAAGTTCAATGTTCACTTTTCCCCCAAAAACATTCCAAACCAATCTGACCAATCAAATGCTTTACTCGTTCTATGGAAGCTAAACTGTCAGCAATTTGGAGGGAAGAATGATGATGTGTTACTTCTTTTGTATCTCCCTATCATAATATTGGGATCACAGCAGACAATCAATTAACTTTTTTTTTCTTTGTCCTTTTTGAGACCAGCCGCACCGCGCTCAGCCAGTGAGCACTGTGAGTGCACCGGTCATCCCTATATAGGATCCGAACCCGCGG